TCTTAAGACATTTCATATTTTTGCTTGCAGTTATTTGTAGTAGTAGTCCACATAATTATTATGCTAACGTTTATAATAAATCACACTTCGACTACTACTATTAATAATTGATACTTTAGGATGTGAAAACTTTAAAATATGACTATTATGACTTCCCACCCGACACCCCCCTGCACCCCACACTGCCCCCGGGAAAAGTATCATCTTCCTCTGTATTTGCACACGACCTTAAGATATTGTGTGATCTTTCCAACAATATATGTTGTGTACATCAAACAAAATCGGAACAGCGTTTGTGATCAAATTTGCGCGGAGGCACGCGACTCAGCAAGAACACGAAAAACGATGGGATAGAAGAGCAACACGAAGCACGGAACGTCATGGACGATGATAGAAGATTTAGCCGATGCAAACCACGAAGTGTTTTACGTAGCGTGAAAGATGGAAGTGCACGCAGCCATGGAAAGAACAGAAGAACGAGAATATGACGGGAGCGTACGGGCCACGGAAGAGAACTAAATACATAGACACCCCAGCATGCTGAAATGCACGGCTACGGAAGAGCACGCAACTTCGAAGCCACTGTAGAGCACGTAGCGGTACGAGTGCACGGACAGTAATTCTCCCATAGCACCACGGTACAACACGGAGCACAGTCGACCGACCAAACGTGAAAACGCGATGTACCAAAACGGAAGATCATCCGAGCATTGGAGCTCGATATTAGGGTAGAATCGGAGCTCACCGAGTCCGACAGCACGACACTACGGTAGCTAACGATCTCACGGACGACAGACCAACCGCAACATCGCAAGCTAACACGATAGCATGGACTGTGCCACTAAGCCATAGGGGAGCACAGCCACAGGAGCTATAGACGGGAGATCTTTGAGCCACGGAGCACGATACCAGCGTAGAAGCTCAGCTCCCCGAGCCACGGAGGACAGTAGCACATTAAAACTCGATTGCACGGACGACAGACCAGCCACGAAAATCACGGGGGTGCTTGGGGTGACCACGATTGCACACCGTGGAGCACGAAGCCCATGTAGAGCACGATAACACGGGCAACGCAGATGCACTACGCGAGCACAATACCATAAATACCATTACCACACCGCGATTGCTCCATAGCGTCGTAACGCGGTCGATGGAATCTTACCAGGAGAGCGCGATACACGGGCGACGGAACAACACGACTGCGTGGAGGCACCAAACCACGGATTAGGACTCTTTCAGGTAGAGTACTTGGATGGGAAACTCAACGACCACAAAAGACTATGAATCCACGAAATCAGTGCAGCTCTCGTAAACGTTTGAGATCAGGAAATAGTTAGC